AACAATTTTCGTCTAGCTTCACCACTAGTGTCTGTATTTCCTGATTTGATGTACTTTCTCGCAATATGAGAATTTGAAAGTAGTTAATTAATAGCTGGGTTTGTTTAAAATTAGTATCAAGTGAGTTGATGAGAGCCCAAGTATCCACTATTTCTGTAATAGGCAGACAACTTTCACGCGTTGCATTGTTTCTTTTAAAAATAATCAACATAAAATCTAGCGAACAACACAACAATTTTATAGAAATTTGAATTTGAGAAGTATCTAGTAGTTGACATTTCTTATAATCTAGAAGTGCCCATTTATTCTCACAAAATCTTGATATTCTCGTACTCTAGAAACCTTTGGCAATGTACTTGCAAGATACATACAGTCTAAAAACACTCTATCAGGTTTTGTAGATATCTAGCAATCCTATGAAAAATGATGCGTACAAACATATAATTTGATTGGAACTATTGTAACAACAAAATTTCTTAAACATCCTGAACTAAATGCATTTTTTTGTATAAAACTAGAAATTCTACTTATTGCTAGAAAATATATTTCTAGTGACAAATATTGGAAGCCTACAACAATATTATCTAATATACATGAGAGTGTTTCCATTGTTCATTACGCTTATTATACCAAATAATACTAAGAATAATTTATTTAATGATGTATATAAAAAATCATACTCCCTCCATTCAAATATATAGGGTATAATACATCTTTTGAGGTTCCCTTTGACCACGAGTTAGTGCAACAAATATGTGATGTGTGTGTTACAAAAAAGTATACCATCAAATCGTATGTGAAAGAAATTTTCAAAGACATACGTTTTATATGATACATCTCATATATTATTAATTTTACGAATGGTCAAAGAAACTTTAAAAACAAATTATCATCCTATATGTTTAGATGGATGGAATATATTTAATTATCACGAAGTAAAAATGTTCACTATAAATAAACTAGTAACGTGCACGTGCAATGCACGTATAATCTTTGGAATTTTTTGAGTAAAGTTTTTCGCAATCCCTGAACTTGTAAGGATAGTTTGATCTGAGTCCTAAATAGTCAATCTTGGAATCAGGATAAGAAAATTACTAATCTGAATCATTAGCATATCCCAAGTCACAAAACGGATTGTGCGATTAAAGTCGGCTCATTTCATCAGCATGCCACGGGATACTCTTGGCCAAGTTTATAAGCTCGCTCGAGTCATCCGCGATCCAAATTAGGGGTAATGGTGAACAAAATCCAAGGATTGAGAGTGGAAGAGAAGAGACAACGAAATATGCGCTAAAAGGGAGAGTGATGGTCATCGACGTTCAGAAAGCAGCGGAAGGGTAAAGAGCATCTCTCGACGTCCGTTGCATTTTCCACAAGTGGTGGCCGCCGCCGTTACGGCGGCCACGTTAGCGTCCACACCACAAGGCTAAAGTTGAGGAGCACGTTAGCACGTTTGACCACACCAAGAACACACATGATGTCACTCCCGTCAGTGTCCCATCATAACCCTTCCTACACC